ACCCCAGCACCATTCTGGTTGCACACTGGAGTGAATGTAAGCTCCCTTGGAGCGTCTTCAGCTCATGTCACTCACGAATGGAACCACTTCCTCCCCGACCAGCCCTTCCCATGTGACCCCGTTGTCTTGCCTTTGACTCTGGGCAAATGGATTGGACCCTGATAGACAGAACTGGGTAGCTCCCAGTTGCCTAGGCCATAGCGACACCCCGTGTCATATGCGTGTCAGTGACACGGGGCTGTACGGGGCTGTTGGCTGTCAGTTTTCCCAGTCCGGCCGGCGGGATCTCCTGCTGAGAGAAAAGTCTCCGTGGAGGTTTCCACAGGCTGCGGTTTGGTGGGGGAGGGCATTGTAAGGACTAAGATGGTGAGGGTCACGGGGACAGGGGTCAGGTGGTCTAGGCCCAGCGTCTCAGAGCCCGTCTACCCCCACTCCCTCGAGCATGGCTCCTTCTCACCTTGGCCTCCCTCAGAGGGCTCCTGATGCAGCTGGGCACCTGCTAATGTGGGGCAGGCAGGTCCGGGGCAGATCCAGGTCCGGGGCAGGCAGGTCCGGGGAGAAATGCCTTCCTGTGTTCGGACATTCCTAGCTTTATGTCCAACTTCCATTGACTAGAATGTTGTCACCAGAGACGTGACCACTAATGGGGGGAAAGAAAGTTCCTCTCCGCTCAGTGGCCATGAGCTCCCCTAAAATCAGGCTGTTAGTCCACGGAGGGGGGTGTTGGAAGAAACCAACAGATCAGCCTTCCCCTTCATCTCCGTGCAGGTCCCAGGCAGGAGAGACACATTCTGCAGCTCATATCCCAACATAAATATGAGAGGTCAGGTGCACATTTACAAGAAGTAGCATGTTATTGTGTGTGGTGGCGGCAGTGGCAGGGTCAGTGTGGAGGTCAGCGCGTCCTTCTTGCCTGTTCGCTGGAAAAGCCTCCTTTCACTCCCACATTCGATTCCCATCCGCTTCCTCAAACCTGGGTCTGAGTGGAGGCTCTCGGCTCTGCTGGTTATAATTTATTTATTTTTTAATGGGAACTTGAAAGCAGCCATTAGAGATGGCTGGCAGGCCAGCTCGTCTGACACAAGGTGAGATTGCCTCCAGCTAAGTGGTTCCCAGAAGGGTCTCAGCTTCCAGGACGCGTCTTCGGAGGACGGCCAGGCGGCCACCTGGACGCCCCCTGGCCCAGGAAGACAGCTGGGCTCTGCTCAGCGCAGCGGGGGGAGGAGGGCACAGAGGACAGAGGGCAGAGGGCGGGGCAGGGGGGCGGAGGGCGCACACTCTGAGAGCAGGAGTGGGAAAGGCCCAAAGGAGGAGAAAGAGGTGAGCCTGGAGAGGACATTGCGTCCCGCTGGCCCCACGTCCCTTCCTGTGTGGTGGGAAGAGACGCACAGACCCCCGCACACTGACAAAACCTCAGCCCTCATCGCTTATGTTCTGTGCTCCTTGGGCCTTCGTCAGTGGCTGATTGAGGTCCAACCAACAACAGAAAAACCCCGTGACCAGCACTGACATGCGCTTTTATAGAACATCCCGATGGCATCCTGATGAGAGCTTCAGTGTGTTTGGTTTATGGACAGTACAGTGTGTCGGTGTGTGGACAGTACAGTGTGTCGATGTGTGGACAGTACAGTGTGTTGGTGTGTGGACGTTACAGTGTGTTGGTGTTATGGACAGTACAGTGTGCTGGTGTGTGGACAGTACAGTGTGTCAGTGTGTGGACAGTACAGTGTGTTGGTGTGTGGACAGTACAGTGTGTCAGTGTGTGGACAGTACAGTGTGCTGGTGTGTGGACAGTACAGTGTGTCAGTGTGTGGACAGTACAGTGTGCTGGTGTGTGGACAGTACAGTGTGCCGGTGTGTGGACAGTACAGTGTGTCGGTGTGTGGACAGTACAGTGTGTCGGTGTGTGGACAGTACAGTGTGTTGGTGTGTGGACGTTACAGTGTGTTGGTGTGTGGACAGTACAGTGTGTCGGTGTGTGGACAGTACAGTGTGTCGGTGTGTGGACAGTACAGTGTGTCGGTGTGTGGACAGTACAGTGTGCTGGTGTGTGGACAGTACAGTGTCTCGGTGTGTGGACAGTACAGTGTGTCGGTGTGTGGACAATACAGTGTGCTGGTGTGTGGATAGTACAGTGTGTCCATGTGTGGACAGTACAGTGTGTCAGCGTGTGGACAGTACAGTGTGCTGGTGTTGTGGACAGTACAGTGTGTCGGTGTGTGGACAGTACAGTGTGTCGGTGTGTGGACAGTACAGTGTGTTGGTGTGTGGACGTTACAGTGTGTTGGTGTGTGGACAGTACAGTGTGTCGGTGTGTGGACAGTACAGTGTGTTGGTGTGTGGACGTTACAGTGTGTTAGTGTGTGGACAGTACAGTGTGTCGGTGTGTGGACAGTACAGTGTGTCAGTGTGTGGACAGTACAGTGTGTTGGTGTGTGGACGTTACAGTGTGTTGGTGTTATGGACAGTACAGTGTGCTGGTGTGTGGACAGTACCGTGTGCTGGTGTGTGGACACTGAATGGAAGGGAACCATGAGGAGGGGCACGGGCACGTGGCGGCATCTGGGACCAGCTCTGTCCTCCGCTCCTGTGTCCACTGTGCCGTGCCCCGGGGCTGGCAGGAGAGCTGCCCCTCTTTCCGTCCCGGGCCCGGAGGAAAGCTGCCGTGAATGTGCTCCGTGGGGAAGCGGGCAGTGTGACCTCAGCCACAGGATAGGCTCATCTCGAGGCAAACGAACATGGAGACTTCTGCTTCCTCCCGGCACGTCCTGCAGACACTCCACCTGAGGCGTTTCCGTCCGGGGACACGCACACTCAGAGGGACGCACTTCTCACGCTCCGTACCTACAACCTGGCAGGAAACTGTGTCCACACGTGGCTCCCACGGGGGTGGTCGAGGCTGCCCTGCCCTTGCTCGGCCCTGCCTTCCGTCCTCTGTCTGTGACTTTGGAGTTCACTTCATCTTTCAGGAGGTGGTTCAACTGGGCGGTGTGAGCTCGTGAACAAATAAAAGGCGTAACTGTAAGGGGCACGCACTCTGCTCTTTCTGTGAGAACGCCAGGGCATCCGATTTCCATCGACTCCTGTCCGAGTGCTGACCGACGGGGCGGCAGAGCAGCCTGGGCGAGGCAGAGAGCCCTGCCTCCTGCACTCCTCCCGCGGGGGCCGTGAAGCCGGGCTGGTGGGACTCCCTGCGTGGAGGGGAAGCCCTGAGCCTTCACATCAGGCAGAGACTGGCCAGAGGGCGAGAGGCACCCCATCACCTCACACCTGCTCCCGAACACCTGACTGCTGTGGGCCTGCCTCTTAGCCCAGGCTGGTCCCTGCACTGCTGCGCACACCCCAGGACAATGTGCTCTGGCTCCGGCCTCCTCCCACCTGTGGGTGTGAATCCAGCTGGGCAAGCACCACCTGTCCTCGGTGAGGAGGCAGTGCCCTCTAGTGGGCCCTGCGGGGAGCTGCTCCGGCCTGGTCGTGGCTCAGGCCAGACAACCCACTCCTGCCCTGAGCCTTGCACTGGTGTTTTCTCCTGGAGAGGAAAAGTGGGCAGTAAGAACAGGGGGTCCTCTAATCTTGGGGGTTTCGGTAAAGGATTGGCCCAGGGCCAGTGGTGAAAGGGTGGCTGTGACCTCAGATGCATTGCTCAGGGGTGTGACAGTTTCTGTAGAAATCACCTAGGGCAGCCGCGGGGATTGGCCCTTTAAGGTGGCTGCAGGGAGGCCGCTGGGCTGGGAGGGCGGGCGGCGCCGTCAGGGACCGAACCTGATCGCATGTGATGGCTGCGGATTAGGTAACAGCTCCGCCGTGGAATTGGATCTGGAGGGCTCATTTGAGTGCGGCAGGTGCCCGGGGATAAAGGGACCTTTTAAATAATCACTTTGTCTCCCATCGCCAGAGCAGGAGGCGTCGGTTCTGCTTAGGCCGGCGCCCTTCTCGTTTATTCCACATGGTGGGTTTGTTTAACGGCCGTTTTCCTCTCAGTCCCACAACCGTGAGCCGTGGCCCATGTGTGTGTGCGGGGTGTGAGCGGGCGTTGTGCCTCCCTCACGCCCGCATGGCAGTCCGGCCGTTGGAGGCAGAATCGGCCACAGAACAGAGTGGCGGCGAAGGCTGTCTCTCATCCCTGCTGTTCCCATCGGGACCATTTTTTTCTCTGAATTTTTCTACCGGAGCCCCAGCATGCATGGTGCCTCACATGTCTGTCACGCCAATTTCTTATTGTCCACAGTTAGAAACCAATTATATTACATTTCAGTGGGTCCTGATTTCTTTTTGAAAAATATTTTCATAGGACTCAGGAAAGGATAGAATCCAAGTGAAACACACGTCTACTGTGATTTTTAAATTCTCCCTCAACTACACGGATCCTTCATGCTCTCGGGCATCACACCCTTGCCCATCTGACCCTCCTCAGCAGCATGGCTTCCTCCCAGGGTCCCTCCCCCGCCATAGACGTTCCTTCCTGGTTTTTCTGAGAACCAGGCCGTTGTCCAGACCAAGAAGAACAGTGGTTAGGCCGGTGTGCCTCAGGGTGTGATGCAGGAGTGCACTTCCTATGAACCACTTTTCCGGCTGGTTCTCCTTGCGTTAGATACAGCCTTCCCCGGCACACCCCTGGGCTCACCAGGTGCACCCCTCCCTGAACCAGCTCTAGCCTGTCCCCAATGTGTGGACACACTCGGGACTGACTGCTGCCCCGCGGGCCCCAGTCACCCCCCTCCTTTCCGGCCTCATCCAAGGCCTTCCCAAGTTTTTGCACTGGACATTCTTCCCAGGTTTCTGCTCACCGAAGACCTGGCTGCTGGCACCCTCGCTGGGTGCACTGAGCTGTGTGTCCGGTGCAGGGTGTGCCAGGGCTGAAGGAACCACCTGCTGACCAACTAGATCACTCCCTCCCTTAGTCCACCCTCTCCCCGCCCTTTGCCGCCCGGGCTCTGTGGGTGCTTTCAGCTCTGGTTTTCCCGTTTGGTGCCCACTGACGCCCTCTCTATCTCCCGCAGTTCTGAGCATCCGGGGCGCCCAGGAGGAGGAGCCCACAGACCCCCAGCTGATGCGCCTGGACAACATGCTGCTGGCGGAGGGCGTGGCGGGCCCCGAGAAGGGGGGTGGCTCGGCGGCAGCGGCCGCGGCCGCGGCGGCCTCCGGAGGGGCCGGCTCCGACAACTCGGTGGAGCACTCGGACTACAGAGCCAAGCTGTCCCAGATCAGACAGATCTACCACACGGAGCTGGAGAAGTACGAGCAGGTAATGCCACCGGCCTCCTCGCTCAGCCTCCGTCACTGCAACCAGCCGCCTTCCTTCCCACCACGCAGGGCATCACGGTGCCCTCAGCCCCTGAGCAGAGCAGGGCCTCTGGACCCTGGAGTCAGACAGACGTGGGTTCCCATCCTGCCCCCTGCAGTGGTGTGGGGCCTGTGTGACCGTGTGTGTGTGTGTGTGTGTGTGTGTGTGTGTGTGCGTGTGTTCCCCTGCAATGGTGTGGGGCCTGTGTGACCGTGTGTGTGTGTGTGTGTGTGTGTGTGTGTCCTGCAGTGGTGTGGGGCTTGTATGACCATGTCTGTGCCTGTGTGTGGGAGTGACTGTGCCCCCTGCAGTGGTCTGCAGGACCAAGCGTTCCACAGCTGCCCTGGCGGTGTTCGTGCAGAGCTGAGCACTTGGAGTCAGGCTGTTACAGGAAAGGGTGGGAGCAGCTGGGAAGGGCAGAGGCATCATGAGGGTAAGGATTCTCATCCAGAGGGCTCCTCCAGCTGAGACCCCCCTCTGCACACCGCAAGCTCACACACACACACACTCTTACACTCACACCCAGTCACACACAATCACATTCTCACACACATGCATTCACTATCACACACTCACACTCAGTCACACACAAAATGTCATAGTCTCAGACACATACTCATACACTCAATCACACACACAATCACAACCTCACACACATGCACCACTCACACACAGTCTCTCACAGACACAGTCACACATGCTCACACACACATGCACTCACACACACGCATTCGCACACACTCACAGACACAGTTACCCATACACGCTCACACTGGCTGACGCAGTGACACACTCTCCCATCACGCTGTCTCCATGGCGGCCGGAGCAGTGCCCGTCCAGCAGTCCCCACACCAGCCGTCCCTCAGTGACGGGCAGATGTCCTGACAGCACAGCGCGCATCCTCCCTCACTGTCGGGTCCTGGCTTCCGCTCCTTCCTCGGCTCCCCCAGGAAGAGGGAGCAGGAGCCACAAGGGAAAGCCCTGCCCTCCAGGCCACTGTGACTGTCAGGGGCAGGCAGATGCAAACTTAACAGACACTTTACATTTTAAAGGAGAAATAGGCACTTAAAACGTTAAAGTGAAGAAGTTTCATTGTGGTACTCAGACCTGCCGACCTTTGAAGTGGATGTCTGCTAAGACCTTCGCTAATGAGATAAACTGGCGCTGGGCCAGGCCTGGGGAAGCAGACGGGTGGGAGGCTCGGCCGGGAAGCCAGCGGTCACCCTGCCCTCTGGGACAGAACCACGCCCTCCACGGGGTGGCTTGTGTGGACACTCCGGGCCCAGGATGTGGTGGAGAGCTGGCTGAGCAGGAGCCAGTGGCAGTGGCCCTGAGCGATGGGCACCTGGGGAAGACACAGGCATTTCTATGAAGGCTCCCGGCTCTGTGCTTCCTCCTTCCTTTCACGAGTCAGCCTGCCTCTGGCATAACTGCTGGCCTGGCGTCCAGGGAACTCACGCCCAGAACCCAGGCCCAGGAGAGCCTGGAGTGCATCCCCCACTCCTCCCCGCTCCCCTGCGCCATCCCCGCAGTGGATGTTAGATGGGAAGGTATTGGGAACTGGCTTTGTTCTCAGCACAGAACTGACTTCCTGATTTAACCCCATCACCCCTCTGTCACCTCAAATGAGAAAGCCACTGTATTTCCTCTGGGGAATTCTGTTTGGTACAGTGAGGAAACGGAGGTCAAAGGTCAGGTGATATGCCTGGAGCTCAGCCCGCATGGGCAGGTTGCCCGGGGCTGGGCTATGACCACGAGGGGCCACCTGCCCCCCGGGGCTCTGTGGACTGCTGGCTGGCCCCAGGCCTCAGCACTCCTCAGGCAGGTACCTGCGCCCCTGACAGAGGTGCTGGGCCCTGGGCGCCCCGGAGCCCAAGCTCACATGCGGTGGAATGGTCCCCGGTCATCACTCTCAAGAAGGACTAAGAAATCACCACCTGGCACGCAGGCTTTTCCGGTGAGAGCCAACACCGCTCAGCGCACTCTGGGTGCCTGATCTCACATTCGATTGTTGTGTTGTTTATTATAGCGAATAGCAGCTTGCGGGGGAATATGCCAATGCCGTTGGCCTTCTCTGAGACAATCTTACTCATTTTTCTGTGACCATTCCTCCTGGCAGCTTTTTGAAAAATAGGACAGCTCAGCAGAAGAAATTGTGTTGGTACCTGGATGCAATGATCAAGTTGACTCTTTAATAGCTGCTTTTGTTGTGCGCGTTGTTTTGATTTCAGTTTGTTGCTGGTAGAAAACCAGGTGTAAGGAGCCCTGGGGGCTTCCCATAACAACCCCCCTCCTCACCCCACCCTCCTTGCCCCGCCCCTGCAGCCACCACAGCGGCTGCACCGCTCTGCCCAGGACGACTGGTCCGGCTGCTGCTGGAGATGCGCCTCAGAGAGGAGGGGCGAATTGTTCTGTTCATTGCACGGGGTTGGTGCACGGTTTCAGCAGCCTCTCTGAGGCGGAGCTGGGAGCTGGCTGTTCTCACAAAGCTGCCATGGCAGTAACCTTGGGGTTAGCCCCCCTGCTTTCTTCAGAAAACGGGGCTCCCCTGGCTTTGCAGGCTTCCAGCTTCTGTAAGCAATGCTGCCGGGATGGGGATGGCCCGCCCGTCTCCACGGCTGACCTGGGCTGGTCACTCGCACCCTGATGAGACTGGCCTCCCCTCCGGAGGGGAGAGGTGGATGTAAGGGGAGAAAAGGAGAAGGTGGATGTAAGATGGATCCAGGGCCCGAGGCCAGACTGTCTCAAAGGCCTGTGCTCTCCCAGGAACAGCCTTTCAGAGACGGCCAGCCTGGGGGCCGCTGCAGCTCCTGCTCCCGGAAGGGGCCGTCCTTGACCTCCAGCAGTGCCCTCTGCCCCAGAAACTGCCACCTGTGTGGGTGGCACTGCTTGGCCTTTGTAACCCGGCTCTGGTTCTGAGGGGCAGCCCAGCACCAGGGCCGAGCCTGGGGGATGGGAACGGGTGCAGGCAGTTGAAGTCTGGAGAGATCTGGGCCGGGATGTTCTGTCCGTCTTCCCGGACTGGGAACGCAGCACGCTGCTGGCTGCACGTCCCAGCAGCTGGCCGGCAGCTGTGCAGCTGCCCCTGGGCAGTGGGTGGGGGCCCCCTGTCTGCCTGTGGCTGGGCGGGAGGCCCGGGAAAGGCAGTGGGAGTACTTTTATTCTCAGCAGCGAAGGCATGCATTGTGGCCGCGCCCTGTAGCTTCCCGATGGGAGCCAGTGCCCTTGGCAATGCCTCCTCACTGGCCCCCGAGTGGGGCCGTGGAAAGCCTTGGCTGCTCCCCCGAACCCGCACCCCACCCCAAGCATCCTGGAGTCCCACAGCTCACGATAGGGTTACCCCCTTTTCTGTACACGGAGTGGGGTGGTTTAGGGCAGAAGAAACTTATCAGAGCCTGTTTCTTCGGCAGCATTGTAGTGGCGAGCAGAGGCCACCTGGACCCCATTGTCCATGGGTTTGTCCTCAGCAGGTGTCTGCAGAGTGGAGGAAGGCACCCAGGAGCCCTTTGGTTTTACCAGGAGGGAGTGTGAGGCCTGGAGCTCCCCAGCTGTGATAATACACCGGTCCCTAAGGTCTCGGTCTTTGAAAAGACCGTGATACACGCTGAGATGGCCCCACAGGAATACAGTAGCTCAGTTCATGCTCCCTGCCTCCGAGGGGGGTGTTGTCAGCCGCGTCCCTCCTCAGGAAGACAAGGTAGAGACGTGAAGTTAATGACTTCCAAAGGCCCTCAGCCAAGGGAGCCAGAGGGACTCCTCCTCGGCCTCAGCTGTGTCCCAGCAACGGGCCCCATCCACAGGGCACGGCTCAGGAGTGTGGGCACTGCCTGGCTCCCTAGAGGGTCAGGAATGATCGCGCCCACCCAAAGAACAGAGGAGCTCTGGGTGGCGACAGGGCTCACCCAAATCTGCAAGGAGCAGGTCAAGGCCAGCCCCCCAGACCCAGAGGATGCATCTCTGCGTAGCTGTTGGCAGCCACACTCAGAGGACCGCTCGGGGAGGGGCAGCGGCCGGGACTGTCGCTGCGTCACTGACCAACAGGAGGGCTTCGTGCTGCCGAAATGTGGCGACGCCTGTTGCCGATCACAATTGCATTTCGTGGTTAAGTCTGGGCTGGACCTCTGGGCCTTGGGGTCCCAAAGCAGCCTGTTCCTTTTTCTTTCCACATCGCATCCGCATTGACGACAGTGCGTGAGCTCACTGGGAGCAGGTGACGAGGAGGGCTTTACTGAGTGCCGTGCTGGGAACCTGACTGCAGGTGATGAGGACAGAAACTAGAAGAAAGGGCAGCCAGTCAGAGGGGCGGCCAGGATGCCTGGGCCCGAGGACACGGCAGTCACCCTGCCTGGCCCTTGTCTGCAGGGCGAGCCCCCTAACCCTCCAAGCCCCATGGGGAGGCTGTGCCTGTGGCCCCCGCGTTGTGGACATGGGGCCCCCCAGAGGCTGGCGAGGAGGGACTCCCCGTAATGAAAGTGGGAGTGGAAATGGGTTGATGGAAAAGCTTAGAATCCCAGGACCCTACTCTTCTGTGGACGAGGCAGGATGTGCTTTTGTGACCCCAAACCCTCTGTGGCTGTGAACGTTGCGTGAAGGGTTGTGACCTGCATTTTACACCGAAATTATCTTCTTGTTTTTTTTTTCAGTAGTAAAATCATGAGTAAAAAAAGATCAAAACATGATTAAGAATTTTCTTTTCTCTCAAAGTCTATATGTGGCCCAAGGTTAGCCTCAGGGCTGATGGGTTTCCAGCCGCCACTTAGTCTGTGCCTCCGATTTGACAAAATGCCATCAATGTTCCGTGCATCCCTGCACACACACCCCGGGGTGCCGCACAGCCCTCCCCCGCCCCCCTCCCAGCCCCTCACCTGCGTGTCCTGTCCCCCAGGCCTGCAACGAGTTCACCACCCACGTGATGAACCTGCTGCGCGAGCAGAGCCGGACCAGACCCATCTCCCCGAAGGAGATCGAGCGGATGGTGAGCATCATCCACCGCAAGTTCAGCTCCATCCAGATGCAGCTCAAGCAGAGCACGTGCGAGGCCGTCATGATCCTGCGCTCCCGCTTCCTGGACGCGCGGTGAGTGGCCCTCGGCCTGGCCTCTGGGAGCGTCCAAGGGGCTGGGGTGGGGTCAGGGAGGCCCTGTGGCCAGAGCTGCAGGAAGCATGGGGCTGGCAGGGAGTCGGGGGAGAGGGCCATCCCTGAGCAAGGACAACATGGCTAGGGTGACAGCAAAGGCAGGACTTTTTCCTACCACTGGGGACCTCCTCTTTCTAATTTATTGATTTGAGAGAGAGAGGCATTGATTTGTTGTTCTACCCATTTTTGCATATTCGTACTTCATCCATTAGTTGATTCTGTATGTGCCCTGACCGGGGATGGAACCCACAGCCTTGGTGTGTGGGGGAGGACACTCTCTCCCCCTGAGCACCCGGCGGGCAGGGACCTGCTCTCTGGGCCCGTAGGCAGTTCCGTTTGAGAGCTGGCGTCCCCTCGGGCCCTGTGCAGGCCGAGCCGCGTGCCACGCTCCGGGCTGGGGCTAGGAGAACAGATGGTGACCCGGTGCCGGGGGCACAGGGAGTGCAAGCTGGTCCAAGGCCCAGACCTGGGCTAAGGCTCCATGCTTCCTTTGGGATTGCTGCTCAGGACCTCATGTGAGTTCAGATCATTCAGTTGAAACCATGGGTGCAAAGGCCCTTTAAGACCAAACCCGAGAACAGGTGACAAGCCATGGGCTCTCAGCCCCTCCTCCCCAGAGCAGAGGGTTCGGGCAGCGCTGGACTTCTCCGGTGCCCGTTCCCCGCCAAAGGTATGGGGATCGGGCCTGCTGGGGGGAGAAGGGGGCACCGTGTGACCTCGCAGGCGCCCCTCGAGAGGCTGCCTTGCTGGCTGCACCTGGTCCCCAGGAAGGCAGTCACCTTCCTTGTGTCATGTTCTGAAGATGAGCCCAGTCTCCGATTTTATTATTAATCAGATTGGGGGCGGGGGGGCCCGCAGTGAGGGTTTTTTCAGACTGGCTGCTCTCTGCATTTGTCTCCCCTGGAATCGTGTGTTTCCGCTCCATCGTGGCCTTTGCCGCCACAGGCCGGGCATCCCCTCGCTCCGTGTTGTTCTGTGTGTTGTGGGCCCTGGAGCGTAGGGTGAGGGCGCCAGCCAGCAGCCTGCCTCTGGGCCGGCGGAACAGCCACAAGAGAGTAAAACGGAAGATGGCTTTTCTCGGCTGGGCGTGCCAATGAGTGAGGAGGGGGAACCCCGAGGCAGGACCTGCGCCCCCTCCTCCTAGGCCGCCAGCTCGGCTTCTCTCACGCAGGCTGTTCCTCCCTGAGTGCAGCCGCCACTCTGCCATCCCCATGGCAACGCCCCTTGTTAAAATGCTGGAGTTGGCGTTTATGTTGGCAGATACTGAAAAAAGAAAAGTTGGACCCAGGCTGAGTTCTTTTCAAGAAAGGAGGCGGGGAGAAGGGAGCAGGCCGGTGCCCAGACTGTTCTTGCCACAATCCTGCTGCATCTGGCCGCGGTCGGACGCAAAGCCGGGGCCTCTGCTCCCATGGCTTCAGTCGACCGTTCCCTTCGGCCCGGGACCATCCTTCCAGGGGCTGCTTCCTGTGGGGTTGCAACCTCTGCGTCGTGGCGCCTGAGCCCCCGGTCCCAGCCAGCACAGCTGAGCAGCTGTCCTGGGTGTTTATTCTGGGGGGACACGTGGTGTCAGTGGAAGAATGTGGCCCCCAACGCCGTCCTGGGCCAAGCCAGTGGCTGTCTGAGCGCACACCCAGCGTGGGCGGCCTGCGGGCAGGCGTGGCCTCTTCCCGCGGCGGCGGCCCGGCTGCAGGCCCAGTGGAGAGGTCCCCAGAGGACGGTGCCTCACTGTCCCTGCTCATGGGGTCGCCAGCTGTGACCCAGGTGCCGGCCGAGGCCGGACTCACCTGAGGCTCGGGGTCTCTTCCAAATAGCTCCACGGAGCAGAGTTCGGTTCCCACGACTCCGGGGCAGGTCCAGGCTCTGGGAGCCGCGCCCCCACAGGCAGTCGCACAGCCGTCGCAGGAGGGTCCTACCATGGCAGCGACAGCCCAGGGCCCCCTGCACGGACTCCCCTCCGAGGACCAGAGCCTGCGCTGCTCTCAGCACCCGCACCCCCTCTCCCCTCCCCCGCTCCCAGGAGCTGTGGGCCCGGGTCTCACAGGCTCCGTAGAATCCACCTTCCCCCTCTTCCCTGAGCTCCGCCCAGGTTTTGTCCACGTAGTCATTGCCTTTTTCTCTGCCTTATGTTGGCTTAACTGAGCCAGAAAACAGTGGCTTAAGAATTCCACTCACCTGTTAATGCGCTCATCCATTCAGTGTTCGTCATTTCATGCCACGTCCCAAGCCTCGTGCTGGGAAAGGGGAGCTGAAAGCGGTGTGGACAGGGAGCCAAGCGGTCGCCTACCCCTAACACTACCCCTGAGGGGTAGGCGACCGCTGATAAGAGGGCTTGTAAGTCCTCTTATTATTATTGAGGTTGGCAACCGCTGCCCTCAATGATTGTCTGGCAGCAATTTGACGTTTCCAATACCATTCTGCTGGCGAGAGCAGTCAGAACGTCACCGGTGCGGAGTGTCGTGTGCGCCTCACCGGTAGAGGGCTGCAGGAAGGGAGCGGGCCGGGCCTGGAGGAGAAGGACAGGGAGGCCGCCAGAAGGGCTGGTGGAGATGGGTTTGTTCGTGAGCGGAGTGCTTGCTCACAGCCGGAAGCTGAGCTAGCACTGGGACGGCAAAGACGAGCACAACCACGTGAGTCCAGCCTTCGGGAGCTCATCTCACGGCACAGAGGCTCTTAGACACCATGCAGAACCACCCATGAATCCTGGGACACAACTGCCAACCCCGTGTGGCTGGATGGGGTGGGGGTGGGGGGGCACCGTCCTGAGTCTCAGGGAAGCGTGAGGTCAGCGTGGCAGGAGCCGTGGACGGCAGTGCCCTGCGGTGGCCACGCAGCGCTGCCTGCGTGCTCACTGGGCTGGCCCTCGGTCTCAGATGAGCATGGAACAGCCCCTCCCCGTGGGGCTGCCGGCAGTTGGGAGGCACACGCCTGTGCACAGGCTGGTGAGAAAGGCACGGCGGGTGGGAAGGCAGAGTGTGAAAGCCAGGCGTGTCTTTGGGGAGCGGGGCACATGTGGTGTAGCTGGGAGAAGTTGTGTAAGCAGGGCTAGGATTGGGGGGAATGGCACCAGGGACAGGATGGACCCCTGGAAAGCCAGAGCTGTGCCCTGTATCCAGGACCAGCAGGGCTCAGGCTTGGGTCAAGGTCAGGGTCAGAGTGAGGGGTAGTGTTAGGAGTAGGGGTAAGGTAGGGTTGGGTTAGGGTTGGGGTTGGGGTAGGGGTAGAGTCAGGGGTTAGTGTTAGGGGTAGGGCTAGGGTTAGGGTTTAGTTAGGGTTAGGGTTGGTTAGAGTTGGGATAGGGTTAGGGTTAGCATTATGGTTGGTGTAGGAGTAGAGTCAGGGTCAGTGTTAGTGTTAAGGTAGGGGTAGTGTTAGGGGTAGGGCTAGGGCTAGGGTTAGGGTTGGGATAGGGGTAGAGTCAGGGGTAGTGTTAGGGGTAGGGCTAGAGTTAGGGTTGGGTTAGGGTTAGGGTTGTGTTAGGGTTTGGTAGGGGTAGAGTCTGGGTAGGGCTAGGGGTAGTGTTAGGGCTAGTGTTAGGGTTAGGTTTGGGTAGGGGTAGGACAGGAGCAGTGTTAGGTATAGGGATGGTTAGGGTTAGGTTTGGGTAGGGGTAGGACAGGAGTAGTGTTAGGTGTAGGGATGGTTAGGAGACAGCATGTATGGTGCTTAGCAAATAAGTCTACAATGCCTACATGTCCCACTCTAAAATCCCTCAGATTCAAGGAGTTTTTTCTCCAATATGTCGCATTTATCCCGGAATAATTCACCCATGTCCATATTTTTAAAAAATATATATTTTATTGATTTTTTGCAGAGAGTTAGAAGAGGGATAGAGAGTTAGAAACATCGATGAGAGAGAAACATCGATCAGCTGCCTCCTGCACACCCCCTACAGGGGATGTGCCCACAACCAAGGTACATACCCTTGACCAGTATCGAACCTAGGACCCTTCAGTCCACAGGACGATGCTCTATCCACTGAGCTGAACCGGTTTCTGTGATATTTCTTAAATTCAAAACCTAAAGACCAACTCTCTGAGGTTTGATTGGCCTGGTTTGCGAGCTGATAACACTTCAAGCCAAAGTGAGTAGCCGGTGTCTGCGGCCGAGCACCCGTCCTGGGAAGTGTGTCATTTCACTCGGTTTCTTAGATCCTGACCAATCCTGGCCCCAGGGTCACTGGCCTGGGCTGACACCGCCGGGAAGGAGCGGAGCAGGCCATCAGGGGTGTGGCCCCTGGGAGGTCACCCCTCACTCACACGGCGAGGGGCTCCCCATCAGGGCAGCCCTAGGGGCGCAGGGCCCCCACCCCAGACAGCTGTCTTCTCCAGCCAAGAGGAAGCCAGAGGTGAGGCCAGGACAAGCTTGGGAACGAGGTGCCCGGCCCTCCCCCCAGATCCCGTCATGCGGGAGCTGCAGACGCTGCCTGCTTTGCAGTTGGGTTTCTAATTCAGTCTGCCCAGTTCTGAGGCGGGTGACCCAGAAACCCAGCGTGATTGGGAGAGTGGCTCGGTCTTGCCGGTGTCTGGGCAGATGTGGCTCATACCTGTGGACAGATGGTGCTCACCCGGTAAAATCAGGCACTTCATTGTGTTAATTAATCCACGCGGGACCCTGAAAACACAATATTAGCTGAATTTCCTGTCTAGCAAGGTGGTCCGCGCTTTCTGTTGGCTAAATTGGGAAATCCTATCCTGGCACAACCAGGGATGTTCTGGGCATCTTGTCCATGAGGGAAAGCTTTTGATAGAAGCAAGAAAGGCAGATGAGCTCATTTACCGTAAAGGAGGGACGGCCGGGCCTGCAGTGAGCCGTGTCCCACCCAAGGCCTTCTGGGAGGAGGCAGTGAAGGAATTCTCACTTTGAATTAGTTCAGTTAGCACTTTTTTTAAGCGCAGAAAAACGCTTTTATTCAAAAAATGGTCGGAAAGAAGTCGGTATGTCCTCTGCCACTTAGGGCTGTTCTTTCCTGGAGGTCCGCCTCGCTCCAGGGCCAGCAGGACAAGCCCAGGGCCCTTCTGCGCGCCAGGCCCTCTCTGGGCCCAGTGGGTGTCTCACAGCGGTGGGTGTGTGATGGAGTGGCAGCCAGCCCCTGGGCACAGCCGCCGGAAACCCTGTCTTCTCTCAGCGGGCCCTGCTCTCCCTGTGCATGTGCATTTGGTGTGAACGCCTTTTTGTGTCTCCTCTGCTCCCTATCTCCCCTGCAGGCGGAAGAGACGGAATTTCAACAAGCAGGCGACGGAAATCCTGAATGAGTATTTCTATTCCCATCTCAGCAACCCTTACCCCAGCGAGGAAGCCAAAGAGGAGCTGGCCAAGAAGTGCGGCATCACCGTGTCCCAGGTGAGGCCTCAGCCTCGGCCCGCGGGCTCTGGCGGCGGAACCTAGGACAGCGGGGTCAGCCCGCTCTGTGTGAACAGGGGGCTTCGGCCGGGATCCGGGGGCCTGGCCAGGGACCAGCTGGAAGCAAAGACCCGGTGGAGGGCTGTGGCACGGGGCTCGGTTCCTCCCACCGACAGCTCGCTGCCTCCACACGGAGGTGCTTACTTGACTTTGGAAAGCTCTCCTGTAGTTTCTCAGCCACAGGCCTTTCCTCAGCCCATTTCCTGCCCCACCCAGGACCTCCATGAGCCAGGGGATGAACTTCCACGTGAAAGGGACAGGCGGGCCTTCTCTCTGTGCTCAGGGATGAAGGTGTGGGGAATTAACGCCCCGTGTGCACTGGAGTGGTCGCACACGCCTCCGAGTGCCCCTCCGCGGGAGCAATGCCGTGACCGGTGTCCGTTGTCAGGGCAAGATGCAGGGTTTGGGATGTCCCCAGACCCGAGTCTTCATTCCTGTGAGAAGGAGAGGAGGCAATATTCACATGTAAGAGGGTCCATGCGAACTTTCGCTCAATCGGAACCTCAGAATCCACCCCCGGTCTCTCGCTGAAATCTACCGCAGAAAGACTTCCTCTGCGTTATGTCCCGTGAAGAGACCACCTGGCTCTCCGTAGTGGGTGGGCAGGGAACTGACGTAGTGGGAGTTCGCTGGGCGGCTGCCAGGCACCTGGAACAAGCGCTGCCGCTGCATTGCCTGAGCTGGTCCTACTCCGGCGCTCCCTGCGGGCGCACTCCCATCGGCCTGAGATTAGCCCGGCGGAATGAGGCCTGGCCAGAGCACAGGCTCCCCGGGGTCCCGATGGCGAGCTCGCCAGGGCTTCCCCCCTCCCCCCCACGCTGAGTGATCCTGCAGCAGCGTTAGCAGCCCCCCTCCAACTCTTTTCCTGCTCCCCTTCCTTAGGCACTGACCCAGGAAAGTCATCTCCAGTCCTGAACCCAGGAAGCACCTTCCAGGGGCCAGGGCGGGGGTCCTTTGTCTGCATCTCCAGCCCTTCTCCTCTGCACCTAGACCCTCGGTCCAAGGGGACGGAGAAGTGACTTTTCGGTGTTGGCTGGGTGTTTGGCAGGCGCCAGCTGTGGACCAGGTCCCTAAATCCCAGCCAGGGCCCGCCCTCTCTCCTTCCCTCCCTCCCTCCCTCCCTCCCTCCCTCCCTCCCTTCCTCCTTTCTTCATTAAAATTGCCCCTCCCAATCCTGAATCAAAATCTCAGGGGCAGCGGGGAGGCTGGGAGTCTGTTCCAGCAGCTCTCCCTGCACTTGCCTTGGCGAGCACTGTTCTGTGTGCCAAGTGACCTCGTCCACCTTCACGGCCGCAGACATACCGGCTCCCCCGGAGTGCCAGCCTCACGGGGACGCTCCCTGCGGTGCACACAGGCTCTGGAGGCGTCACAGGGTCACATGCCCTCGGAGTCTCTCCAGAGGAGCGAGGGCTCCTCCTTCCTGGGACGGGGCCTATCAGCCCCTCAGCCATGATGCTGAGCAGTGAGGTCGTTAGTGCGACACGGGTTCTGTATGTCGCCCAGGGCATGCGACAGCCCCTGGTGGACGACCAGGCATTCCGGACGGACCTGGCACCTTCCCTCCCCTCAGCTATTCCCACCTGGAAGGGAACTGTCCCTGACACGTCCCCCTGCACCTCTTCCTTCTCCTCTTTCTCGCTTGGAGCTGATTTCATCATCCCTCAGGCGTGTCCTTTCTTCCTCAGAAGCCCCCCAGGCACCATCCTCCCCCCGTTTCTCAGCTCACCCAGGCCCTCCCAAGTCTGTGTGTTTATTGCCCTGTCCCCCCAGCAGTCAGAGGCAGCCAGGGTACATTGGTGCACATGGACAGTGGGGCGCTGCCAGGGAGAACAGGTCAGGGGTGGACTGCACAGCACTGGTGAATGGCCGCTGTGCCCCCTTCTGGCTGACCTCTGTTTTCCTGTTGCACAAGCACTTACACCACACAGGGCGCCTTCTCATTGGCTGTCTCTCAGGGCAAGATGCAGGATATGGGATGTTCACAGACCCAAGTCTTCAGCATTCGTGTGAGGAGAGGAGGCAATCTTCACATGTAAGAGGGCCCCTGCAATGGCACGGTTTGATTTTCGCAGCAAAGCCTTGCCGTGTTTGCTGCGTCACATGCTGCGTAGAGCTATGAGGGTCAGCGTGTGAGACTGTGAATCTTGTTCACGGATCCCAAAGTCGGTGTCACCTGCAAGAATTCCCTTTGTCTGCCTTCCACATAGACGCTGTGTGTGCGGAGGCGCAGGAGCCGCCGCCGCCCTCGCCAGGCTCAGAGTCTGCTTTGCAGTTATGTAAGCCCGCATTTTGGTGCTAAGTCACACCTGGAATCTGGGGCATGCACCTCCCTAGGCCGGGACTGGGGGGAGGCTCACGGGCGCTGCCCCACTTGTGCCTGGCAGAGGCCGGGACAGCTGCTGTGAGCCTCGCCAAGGGACTGACTTCACAGCAAACGGAAACCAGGTTTATTCTGAGTGTTGGCTTGCACGTGGGAGCCTGGAGCCCCAGTTTCTCCCCAGTCAGGAGGGCGCCCTTGCGCACATGGGCCTGACCCATGGATGCTGATGCGGTCTTAGCACCACAGCTGAGTATCTAGTCCACCTGAAAGGTACCTAACCCCGAAAAGTCTGCTTTTAACCCATCATGGTTGACCTAGGTTTACATGGATATTGAAGGTCAGTGTATGTTTATTGCCCAAAGTCAGTGTTAGCATTGCTATGACAAAGAAAATTCTTGCAAACACTGTACTCATTGGTTTTTATTTTATTTTTATTTTTTAAACATATATTTTTCTTTGATTTGAGAGGGAGAGAGAGAGAAACATTGATGAGAGAATCATTGATCAGTTGCTGGGGATGGAGCCCAAAACCCAGGCATGTGCCCTAAACAGGAATCCAATGTCTCAGGGCCCAGAACAACGTTCAACCAACTGGGCCACACCAGCCAGGGCCAAAACTAACTTACTTTTTAACAAGCGTTTTTGTTTTAGTGTCATACTTAACAGGTCAGCAAGTTCCCCACGCTTGCTGGCCTGAGAGGGTCCTGGCTTAAAGAGTGGCTCCTCCTGGTTGTGCGAATTGTGTTGTGTGAATTGTGTTGTGTGAATTGTGTTGGATTCAGCGAGAGAGTATCGTGTCTTATCGTTGCTGCTCTCAAGCTCTTACTTCAGACCTTTTCCTCAAGGTTGTGAAATCGTAGCTGGAGGACCCCTCTCCCCATATCCACATTCTCGGCTTCCCCTTCCCCCACAATGGCCCTGGTGTGGAGGAGGAAATGCTAACCTTCTCTCTTCTCTCACACGCTCTAGGTATCAAACTGGTTTGGAAATAAGCGAATCCGGTACAAGAAGAACATAGGTAAATTTCAAGAGGAAGCCAATATTTATGCTGCCAAAACGGCTGTCACTGCCACCAATGTGTCAGCCCACGGAAGCCAGGCTAACTCACCCTCAACTCCCAACTCGGCCGGTTAGTTTCCTCTTTGCTCTGGGGGGACTGGGCTCGTGTTGTGCGCGCTCTTTCTGCACCGGGTTTTCTCCAAGCCTCCCGGCTTCTCCGTCTGTGAATCTGCGTGTCCCTTTGGCTGTACGTGCCCTGAGGGTTCCCTTTTATTTCCAAAGCAGGACGTGTCCCCTGCTCACCCGAAGGGCCTGCCTGGCGGTGAGCACGGGTGTCTGTTTAAGGTAAATCGGTTGGTTTTGAGGAGGTGGTGCCACATTCCCCCTTCAGAGATGCCCGAGGAAGCTCAATGGCTGGTGGGTACGTGGACATGGTCCCGGGTCCTAGCACGTGGTCTGTTTCATGGAACCCGATGCTTGTCCGACTGCTGCATCACATACAAGCAGGGTCACCTATGAGCTGGGTTCCACACGTGCATATTCACTTTTCCGGCAACATCTCGTGGATATTCAGTTCTGCAAAGTCAGACTATGATATCTATACTTCTGAAAGTTGTTATTCTTTACCATTTTATTTTGTTCCGTTTTTATGTGTAAAGTACACAAGGAAATTGCCAGTCATTAATTTAGATGATTCCAATTTCGGTCTTCACATTATACTCAGTCCTGTGCTGTGTTCCTGGTTTTATGCACCGAAACTCTGGTTCCAGAGTTTGGGCTCACACCTTACGTGTTGGTATGTGCTTTATCCGAGCCTGAGCTTCCTGCCCTGTGGACAAACATAGCATAAACTGTAACCTCAGTGTGTGTGTGTGTGCTGTGGAGGATATGTTGGTGCTTTTTTCTAAGGGAAAAACCAGAAATATTTCCTAATGAAATGAGTTTGACCTCAGATTATGGCAGTTTACCCCGTGGCTGGGGGTGCACGTGTGAGAAAATCGATGCCTCCGTCGTAAAAAGTCGCCCATTTAAATATGTGAGCTCTTACTGCTGAAAACCTAACGCCCAGCCTTTCTGGGGCCCGTAGGACCTCTGACCCAAAGCTTGTTTGTCCACGAAGGCCCTCCCCCCTGGACGGTTGTTCTTGGAGACACGAGGCCCTGGACCCACAGATCTGTTGCCAGCAGGTTCTCCACGTCTCGGGTGGCGCCATCACGGCCTCACTTTCTTTAAACGAAACCGCGTGGAGGGCTGGGCTCTGCGGACTGGCGTGGTGAGGCGCAGCATCTGGCCAGCTGTTCCTCCCGCACCCAGGAGGGCAGCGGAGCGGAGGTGCGTGCTGTGGAGGTTCCGTGTGTCTCCTTCTCATTGTGGTGTGACTGATCGAGGACTGAAGCCAGCAGGTTAAGAACAAAGCTTCCTCCTGCCCCGTTGGCCGTGATGGAGTGTGTCAGATCCAGCGCCTGGTGGGCATGCCCCGCCAGCAGGCGACTCCTCGGCCTCTTTGGGAGAAGGACAGTTTGTCAGCAAAGCGCACTCCACTCCACACTCCACAAAGGTTGCTGTAACGCAAAGCAGAGGGGAAACGGCTCTCCTCTCCCGTATAGACCTGCCCCGCAGATGGCGGTGTGATTTATGGCGCATCCTCGGACGGCCCTGTGGACTCCGCTCCTCAGGACTCGGTGACTGTCCTCCTTCCTGACGGAGTGGAGAGCAGGCAGCACTCACCCTGCCTGGCGGGGTCCTCGGCCTCTGGGAATGTCACTGTGATGACAGTTTCCTGACGTTTTCTGGTGGCTTCAATGTCATGTGACTATTCGGACACAAAGTAAGTGATTCCGGGAGATCTGAGCCGCGCCCTCCAGGTGTCTGACGTCATTGGAAAGAACTCTGGAGGAGCCCTGCGTGGCTTTCTCTGAAGCAGAAGGAGGGAGTGTGCCCTGTGGGCAGCAGCGGGCCCTCTAATGGCACATGTGTCAACACGAGTCTCAGGCGGCTTGTCTGTGCTCCCGGCTCCTGCTCAGCCCACGTCGCTGCCAAGAGCCAGGGAGAAGCTGAAGAGGCCAAGCGGTCACAGCAGGAGTTCCTGATGCTGCCGTTAGCTCTTTGTTCGATAAGCCTAACGCAGACACGATGGTGAACGCAGACGGCAGGTTTAGACCAAAGGGAATCTGGACATGTGTGGGGCTGGTTGGAAACCTCTTGCTCAGGAGCCTTGGAGCCTCTGGTCCCTGTCGAGGTGGGAATGGTGTCGGAGGTTTGCTCGCTGTAATTGCATTCCTCCTGCAAGGAGGACGCCGGGCCGGTGGCTCCCCGAGGCCTCCCTCCAGAGCTGTTCTGCCTCCCGCTATTCAGCCACTTGTGAGGGCCCCTGCTGCTGAGAGATGCAGGCCTGCTTCCTCAAGCTTATTTCACAAAGCCACCTAACACGGGTCCCTGTGGTGATAGTGAGCATCAGAGATAGTGAGCGTGCCTGGCAAATGCCACATTTTACACCAGCAGAGCTGGCAAGTGGATGCAGAGGAAGAATAGAAGGAAAAAAGAAAAAAAAATTTTTTTTAAAGAAAAAGAATGCAAAAATGGGGTCCAATGAAGTAATAATTACCACCCTTTGTCCCGAAAGTTCCTCTGGGAAGACCTGAGGGAAAGTCCCCAGGACTCTGGATGCTGAGATTACAGGAAGAGCTGACCTCAGACAGAGGCCCTTTGACGAGGTGGGTTATCTCTTGGGAAGTTGGAGGAGTCTCCGCCTCCAGGAAAGAAGACAGTGTCTGCTTTGCCGGGGCCACGTGGCAGCACCGACATCAGCCTGGGATCCGGGTCTGTGACCAGGAAGCTCGCCCAGGAGTCAGCTTTCCACTCAGCTGCTCAGAGGTGCGCGGGCAGCGGAGGCCCCGCCGTGGCAGGTCTCCCCCCGGCCCCGTTTAGTCAGTGGGAGCCCTGGTTCATGTTTGCATTCCACCGGAAATAGGAGGCCTGGGGCTTTGGGAGGGGGAGGGGGAAGATTGTCATGTGAAAGCCCGGACCCCGGCTTCCTGCGAGGAGATCAGTGCAGTCCCACGGCCAGAGGGAAGGCCATGGCAGGGAGGGTGACTGGCCGGCCAGGCAGCCCTGGAACCTGTCCTTGGTGTCCAAAGCCCAGTGGAAGGCTCCCCCGGCTGAGTCTCTCTTCCTGTGTGCCTCCCCTTCCATCTCAGTGCAGAACGACAGCACCGCCTCTCGGGATTGGGGCTCAGAACTTTGACCCACACCTGCCTCGGGCTCCCAACACCTGCTGGGAGCTCCCCGCAGCCAGACGACGTTTCCCTTGCTGCTTTGCCCTGAGCGGGAAGTAGCAGGGCTTTCGAATTGGGCGGAGGAGGGGTCCTGGAGAAGAGAGAGGCCGGCCTGGACACAGCCTTCCTGAGCCCCCCCGGCAAGGCCTGGCAGGCGGCCCTCCTCTGTCTGCCTTGCACAGCCCAGTGCAGAGGACGCCAGGGCTCCTCCCCAGCGGAGCTCCTCCAGGAGGACCGCACACCATCCTGTCGCCGTGCTCAGCAGGAGCTTGCGTCCGGGACACGGGGACTGTCTGCAGACACTTGGCGCTGTGGCCTTCTGGGAGGGCGGCCGTTCCGCAGTGCCAGGCCGGGTGCATGCCACAGGAAGGATGGGGCGAGAGGCCAGCGGTGCCGGTTCTGCAGCCCTGCGCAGCATTGCAGTTTCGTCATCGGCATCCTCTTCTTGGGGTGATGAAGACGGCTGGTTTTCTTCTTCCTGTACAACCTTATGTGTCCTAGAGACTAGACGTTCAGTGCCTGGGACCCCACACTCACACACCTGCCTGTGCCAACGTGTGGCGCCCAGGGGACCCGGTTCCCTCTCGGTCTCCTTCAGGCAGTGTAGCTCCACCCCAGCCCGGAATGTCGGGGTGTTAGCTGGAACCCCACCCCTTCCCCGCTGCAGGCTGAGCCTGTGGGCTGGCCAGCACATAGTGCAGCGTGTTTGACTAATAGGCGGTGATGTGACCACCGCTCACAGGGAAGACCCCCGTGACTGAGCAAGCAATGCTCCTGTGGGAATGAGGCCACCGCACCGCAGAGCCGCCCCCACAGGCCGTGTCCCCCCACTGCCTCCCTGGCTCCAGCGCAGGAGGGAGAACCTGTCTTCTGTTACTTAGATGTCGGTGTGACCTGCCATGAGGGCAGTGGCTCCTCCAGAGCCTCATGAGTCAGGAGCCCTGGTTGTGTGACACGCGTGCAGAGGGCAGCCCCACACACGGGAGCCCCAGTCACTGCTCTGTGTGCTGCCCTGCGCGTGTCCTCGCTGTGTCCGTGCGGCCCAGACACATTCCCGTGACTCTGTGCTCGTGTGTTTCTGAAACGGTGTGCTAATGGCAGCATCTGCCTTGTACCTGGCACATCCCAGGCCTTCGTGGTCATGGATGCCACATTCCCTGGCACTGGGTACCCCTTGGGTTCTCTTGGTTCTCGGTGTGTGTGCCACCAGCCAACATCTGGAGGGTGGTGTTCCTGCTATTGGGCTGGGAAGGGTCGCGCTCCCGCACTCAGACTGTGCGCTCCCGGGAGAGCCGAGCCACTCCAGCTGGTTCTCAGAGCAGCCGGTCCTGGGTGCTGATGGCCTTGGCGTGGGAGTGTGTGTTGTCATACTTACGGCAAAGTGGCTTTTACTATTTAGCTTCTATTTCTGGGATTAAATGAAGATTTAAAAGGGAAATAACTAGGGCATGGAGGCCTGGGATTGACAGGTCACTGAGAGGCTGACTGGGGTTGGAGTGGGAGGGGGGGGGGGCGGGCGGGCTCTGGGCATCACCCCAGCTGGGAGGCCAGAGCTGGGACTACGCAGACCCTGGGCCTGTGTTGCCTATTTTGCCGAAGACCCATCTTTTCTAATTTCTTTGGGATGAGTCACACGAAGAAACGTGCCAGACAACAGGATGTGTGCAGGGCTGTGGCAAGGCCAGTCTCTGGGCAGTGGGGGGCACCCTCCCCAAAGAAGGAACGCCCTGTTTTCCACCTGAAGGGAGCGAGCATGAGCTCAGTTCATGCAGCAAAATAGCTGGGTCCTTGCATGTCAAGGGACGTCCCAGAGAACCCAGAAAGACGCGGTTTTCTGGCTCAAGGTCGTGCCCAGGCGAGCGTGCTCAGCTCAGTCCTCGGTTCCTCTCGGGGCTATTGAAGCGTGAGGATAGGACGGCCAGTTAGCATAGGATCCTTCCGTGGAGAAAACCGGAGCCCGTCCCGGTGGCCGAGCCCTCGGGTAGGAGGCAGGCCGCTCCTGCAGAGCCAGGAAGGCGCCCGGGCTCAGGCAGGAATCCTTGTTGGGCGACTCCGCACGGAGAGCACGCGGCGAGCAGCCAGAGCCTCTGGCTGGAAAGCAGAGTGGAAGGACCTGGTCCCTGCGTCTCCTCTTCCAGGCTAACGTCATGACTTAACCAAACCTTGCACGTCGGGCTTCCTTTCCTAATGCGCTGAGCTGCACGCTGACCCAGAATAATCATGAGCTTCCCACACCCCGTGTTCAGGTTGTGGGGGTGGCTTTTCCCAGGGGAGCCGGGTGGGCCAAGATGGACCTCAGGGCAAGCTCCGGGGAACGGCTCCATCTCGGGCAGCTGCTCTCCTGCCCCGCTGTGGGCCCTGGGCTGTTATCACTGTTGTTATCAGCACTCCATACTCACGCATGCTCACGTTCCTGCTTCCTCTTCCTCCGTAGCGGCAGGTAGCAGGGAGGGTAGCTCATTCTCACACGTTTCCCCACCCCAGAGGCTTTCTGGGCTGTTTGCCACCCAACAAGGAACTTCACCTGCTTTCTAGAAATCAGGAATGCCAGCGGAATCAGACCTGGGTCCTGCCTGCGAGGGCACTGCTTCATGCACCCCTCCCCATGGGCCCAGCGCGGGCGGGCCCACAGCAGCGTATTCGGATGCAGCTGCCCAGCTCGTGCACTCCAGGCAGGGGCGGACGTGGCAAGGACCAGCCCACGTTCTCCCGCCTGCGGTCCCCTGGCCAACCCTAGACCCCAGAGGCGGGAAGGGAGGCCTTGGGCCTGGACACTGCCCACCCCCCCCCCCAGATGAGCAGACAGGATTGCTCGGCCCCTCCCCCAGCGGGGAGCTGCTGCGAGGCTCCCTGCACCGAGGACCCCTGCACCTCTGTCTGCTCTGTCCTCCATGCTACTAACCGGGGGGAGGGGTGTGGGTGCAGTTTCGTTTGGGGGTTGCTTTGCATGTCGCTCTTCCTCTTGCTGTCAGTTGCGGGCGGAGCCTTTTCCTCTCTGTGATTCAGGTGCCTCATCCTTTCCTTTCCAGGTTCTTCCAGCTCTTTTAACATGTCAAACTCTGGAGATTTGTTCATGAGCGTGCAGTCACTCAATGGGGATTCTTACCAAGGGGCCCAGGTTGGAGCCAACGTGCAGTCACAGGTAGGGACCAGCCACTGTGCCGCAGGGGCACCTGGAGCCCAGTGCCCTCGGCCGTGCGGGCTCTTCCTGGTCGTGTCGGCACTTACCGCTTCAGAGGGACACGTAGACACAAACCTTAGCAGCAACCAACCAACCAGACCGAAACCGAGACAGCCCTGGTCGTGGGAATCTCGTCCACACTTGGTGAACGCATTTGGCTCTGGCTTGTCAATCACACTGGGAAGGCGGGGCAGGAGCGAGGGGACCAGTGCTCTGTGCTCACCGCCCAGGACCCAGGGGCTGCTCGGGCACCGGCTCCCTCTCCGGGTCTCCTCTCACTCCGGGTTTCCACCCACTACCTGCCCGACGTGGAGGTGATTCCTGGGGGGCAGGCCTGAGCATCCTGCTTCCAGGTGGACCTCGGGGAGACCCCGGCTGACCAAGCCCAGCTCCCAGCCTTCCCGAGGGCCCAGGGACCCGTTCTGGTGCCGAGTCCACGTCCATGCTGGGAAGGGAAAGTGAAGCACGTGGGGTAGCCCAGGGTCCCGGGCAGCTCACCCTCCCACCCCTGATGGGCAAGGGGTGGCGGGGGCCTCTGGGTCAGAACTGCCCAGGCTTTACCAGTCGTGCCAGCCTGTGTCATGGGCACGTGGCCAGGAAGCACGACATGCCCAGACAGACCGCAGGCGGCGCTCCAGCCCTGGCTCAGGAAGTGCCTGGGTCACATGTGAGGAGATAAGGCCACACTCAGCCAGGTAGCAGCGCTGGCCATTTTGTCCCCAGACAGATGCGTGCCGGCCACACCTGCTCTCGGGCAGTGGCTGGCCGGGTGCCCTCTATGGGACACCAGCCAGGGAGAAGCTGCACGGAGATGTGGGGGGTCATTCCTCCCTCTCCCAAGGTGCCCACCCACCTCCACCTCCCGGAAGCTCAGTGGGTGCCCCCTTTCTGTTACCGTGTTCCTGTCGCCTCTCGGAGCTCGAGGGGAGCCTGGGTTGGCTTAGAGAGGAGTCAGCCTCCTTGTCCACCCCCAGAGGAGCGTCTCTGAGGGATGGTGTGACCTAGCATGCGGAGCCCTGACTAACCTCCCCTCTCTTCCTCCCGCAGGTGGATACCCTTCGCCATGTTATCAGCCAGACAGGAGGATACAGTGACGGACTGGCGGCCAGTCAGATGTACAGTCCCCAGGGCATCAGTGTAAGCACTCAAGTCCCCTCCATCCTCTCCCAGCCAATTAGTCCACAGTCACCTGCTCCCAGGGACACTTAGTGGGGCCCATCTGAGCTGAGTTCCTCGCGTCTAGCGGTGACGCCGTCGGCAGCGTTCTGCCCACAAAGCCGAGGTGCGGGGCCGGGCATCGTGGCGGGCATCGGGGGCTGCCAGACACAATCAGCGTTGGCAGGCACCTGCAGCCACACGCCTCTGCTGCGGGAGCAGCCACACAGGTGACCGGCGTGGGGTGGGACGGGAGCAAAGCTGGGAACCGGTGTCCATGGCATCGGGTGTGGTCTGAAGAGGAATCCTTTCTCCGATGGCCCATTGGAGAGGCGGGGTTGCAGAGGGACGGGCGGGTGCTGAGCATCGTGCATGGGTCCTAGGGTCCCTGCGGCTCCCGACCAGCATGAAAATCCGTAGCGACAAGCTGTGTCGCACAGAGTGAAATCGATCAGACAGACACGGGAGAGCCGAGTGTGGATTTGGGACAGCAATCCAACTCGATTTCTCAGATCAGCCGTCCGCTCCCTCACGGCGGTGACAGCGGCTGGGACAGGATGGCTGCCCCTCGGCTGAGGTCCTGGGCCTGGAGCCCGAGGCGGGGCACTGATGGCCGGGCCTGTGCTGGCGGTGGGGACGGCTTTGTGGCTTCGTTGGGATGATCAGACTAAACTGGGGAAGGAAGGAAGGGAAAGTAGGCATGACCCATCACCCCCGCTGTGCTGGCTGAGGTGTTTCATCTGCCATGGAGGTGACGGTCCCTCCATTCCGTGATGGCCAGTGGCAAGAACTGCGGGCCAGGGAACCCCGGCTTCTCTGTCAGAGGCGGCCTGGGAGAGAGGGCAGGGAGTCAGCCCCGACACGAGGAGAGCGGGGTGTGTGCTGGCTGGGACGTCCTGGCCCCCGAGAGTCTGGCTCACCGCAAATGACCCACTAGAGGGGCCAGGCCACTGGGGCAGGCCCAGAGGCAGCACCCATGCCAAGAGGGGAAGGGCCATCTCGGCCGGAGTTCAGAGCGGCAGGTCAGAGCTGGCCTGGTGTGCTCAGGCAGCCGAAGACCCTGGTCCTCTGTGCTCACGCAAGTTGCTGTTCCCATGGGAACGGGTGAGTCGCCGGTGCCCCCTAGAAACCACCGATCCTGTGGAGTGTGTGCTCAGAAATGGCTTCCAGATGAGCTGAGTGGCTGCGGGGGGCTCCAGCCCATATGCATTCACCCACTTCCTGGCAGACTTTTCCAGAAGGAGCTTTGCTCTGTGTGAGTTTGGGGCGAGAGCATGGCATGCTCACAGAGGAGCTGAGGAGTCTGAGTGGCGGCAGGAAGCGGGGGACGGGGGGGCAGCCCGCATTGGCATCTCTCCAAGCGGGGAGCAGGGCCTCGGACCGGAAGCAGCACCCCTTCCGACGCCACCCTGTGGGCTGGGCTCCGGTTCTGGAGTGTCGTAACCACACATGTGCAGACAGTCACGTCTTCAAAGCACAGCGTGAAAGAGCCTCTTGCTGGCTCCCGTGAACTTGGTTATTGCTTCTGGGTCTTCAGTGTACAGGTGGGTAAGCAAAGGCCGGCCAGACAGGTGTGTTCTTTCTGTGTCAGCTTTAAATTGCGCCCCTGCGAGACCAAGCGTGTTCGGGCGAGGTGACTGTTAGTGGTGGATTGAGCTGGGATGTGTACATGTCCATGTGCCTGTATCCTTTTCGTGCACACGTGTGTGTTCACGTAGTGTGTGTGTGTCCTGTGTGTGTTGTATGTGTAAGTGTGCATGTGTTGTGTGTGTGTCCTTGTGTGCATGTTGTGTGTGTCCTTGTGTGTATGTGTCATTGTGTGCATGCATGTGTTGTGTATGTATCCTTGTGTGTGTTTGTGTGTGCGTGCACGCATTGTGTGTGAATGTGTCCTTATGTGTCTGTTATGTGTATGTTGTATGAGCGTCTGCATTGAGTGCATGCATATGTTTTGTGTGTCCTTGTGTGTGTGTGTGTGTGTGTGTGTGTGGTGTTATCCTTTGTATGTGTCCTTGCGTATGCATGTGTTGTGTGTGTTCTTGTGTGTGTTGAGTGTCCTTGTGTGTGTGCATGTGTGTTGTGTGTGGGTATATGTGTTGTGTGTGTGCATGTGTTGTGTGAGAGTGTGGGTACTGTGTGGGTGGGTGGGTGCATGTGTGTACAGCAGCGTGGGCTGAGGTGCCAGGAGAAGGGAGGGAGACAGAGGGAGGGGATCAGAAGAGACAGGACAGGAATGGAAGGTTCCAGCCAGAACTGAATGAACGCCCACAGCCGGCAGCCCAGCTGGGCCTGGCGTGTTTCCTCTGAGCTGGACATTTTCTGGGCAGCTCCTCGCTCCCCCGGCCATCCCGCAGCCCCCGTGTGTCACCGCCAGCGTCCATGAAATCTGTGGAGCCACACACCTGCCGCTAGTGAGGCTGAGGAGCAAGGGGGCCGAGGGGCGGCCCACAGTGTGTCCAGGGAGGCGAGGAGTGTCCCCAGAAGATGGTTCCACTGTGATGCTCCCGAGCTGCCCGCGGCCAGAGACTGTGGTGGGCGTCCCGGCCCCTGGGTGCCGTCGGCAGCATCACAGGGATAGCGTGCTCATCGGCCTCTTCTTGGGGGCACGGGTGGGTGTTCCCCGGGGGTGCTGAGGGGGTCGCTGACTGTTCTGAGGGAGGTGTGCTTCCGGGGATGGAGCTTCCTCCGCCCCTCCTCAGCACGTGATGGGACATGACTGCTGTGTCCCAGGACAAGAGCGACTGTGCTGAGTGGGGAGTCAGGGGCGAGAGTCCAGGCGCCTGCCGCTCACACGCCCTCTCCGGTCCCGTCACCCCGAGGTCAGAGCAGTGTAGCTGGACTGTTGTGCGTCTCCTGTCCTGTCCCTGCCTCTCGCTGCTGTCTACGACGGCCCTGACCTCTGGCCTTCCCCGCCCGAGTCCTGCACCGCTCCGCAGCCGCCTCCGCGCATCCAGCCTGAGACCCCCGCGTCCCCCGCCTGGCCATTGCCTCCGGCCCAGCGACCGGGGTGCTGGCCAGTGTGGCCAGCTCCGCCCTCGGGATGTAATGGCCGGCGGCTCCTCCATTCAGTGTGCAGTGTGCGGTGCTGCTGTTTATCTTGTGTTTACTAATCCACCGTGTTCTCTTCACAATTGTAAAAGGCTCTTCCGTCCTGTTTCTGTAGGAGGTTTCTCAGCTTTCTGGCCAGTGTGTGTTCCATGGGAGGGGAGTGACCGTGTGCCCAGAGGGCCCTCCCTGGAGCCTCGGCTCCTCCTGCCCCAGGCCTGTGGGCTCCACCAGGTAGCCACGAGGCGGCATTTCCCACAGGCGGTCGCCGTCCCCTCCGCCAGGCCGGGCCTGGAACTGCCCCAGGGACAGCGTCGCGTCAGTTGTGCTGAGCACGTTGGTCCTGCCTTCTGCTCCACAAAGAGGAAACTCAACCCCTACAGAGGGCAGCTCGGGCTTGGGGTGGCCCACGCGTGGCCTGGCCCTCCACACTCAGGAAACATGAGCGAATGGGCCCCCTGGCGTTTGTGGGGCCGTCAGCGCTGGTTCCCGAAGAGACCTCCCACCTCCTTGGAAGGAGGACCTCCTCCCGCAAGCTTGGCTTTGGATACGAAAATGGAGCTCTCTCTTAGGAAAAGTCAGGCATTGTTTTCAAATTCGGTGCATTTCTGAAACTCTGCTCATCTCTGGTGTCATTTGAATTGGGGACAATTCTTTTCCACGTTCCTGTACACACTGTCCATCTGATAGAGAAGAAGCAGAAGGCAGGACCAACCTGCATCTGGGACAAGTACCAGAGGAGGAAGGAAGTGAAGAGATGCCTGTTCATCCCAGTGCTCCCTGAGGGCCTGGCTGTGGCACCCGGAGCAGGTGTTCCCTGAGGGCCTGGCTATGGGACCCGGAGCGGGTGCTCCCTGAGGGCCTGGCTATGGGACCCGGAGCGGGTGCTCCCTGAGGGCCTGGCTATGGGACCCGGAGCGGGTGCTCCCTGAGGGCCTGGCTGTGGCACCCGGAGCGGGTGCTCCCTGAGGGCCTGGCTATGGGACCCGGAGCGGGTGCTCCCTGAGGGCCTGGCTATGGGACCCGGAGCGAGTGCTCCCTGAGGGCTTGGCTGTGGGACCCGGAGCGGGTGCTCCCTGAGGGCCTGGCTGTGGCACCCGGAGCGGGTGCTCCCTGAGGGCCTGGCTGTGGCACCCGGAGCGGGTGCTCCCTGAGGGCTTGGCTGTGGCACCCGGAGCGGGTGCTCCCTGAGGGCCTGGCTATGTGACCCGGAGCGGGTGCTCCCTGAGGGCCTGGCTGCAGATTCAGTTCATGGTCAAGGGTGCATACCTCGGTTGCAGCCTCCATCCTGGCCCCACTTGGGGTGTGTGCAGGAGGCAACCAATCAATGTGTCTCTCTCACATGATGTTTTCCTCTCTCTCTTTCTCTCTTCCCCCTTCCCTCTTTCCCCCTCCCTCCCTTCTTCCACTGTCTCTAAAAAATCAATGGATTCGGGTGAGGATTAACCAAATACGACAACAACAGAAATTCGGGGGATAGCCAAATGGGGGAAGAGGCCAGTTTTGCCTGTTTACTAGCCCAGACGGAGTTGAAGAGGCTCTGGAGGCAGCAGGCACCGTCACAGCCGGGCCAGGACTGCCATCCTGCGCCCATTGTCAGCTCTCACAGAGCTGCTTCACCGAGTGAGCTGCGACGGGCTGCACAGGTCACACATGTGAACCAGCTTAGGCAGAGAAATAGGAAATAGAAAAGCCATGGCAAAAAGTAATTGTAAAAGAGCCAGGAAATAAGAGACATAGAGAAGTAGGAAGAAATAATGTACTGTTAAAGGACAAGCCGGTGGAAGGATGGGAGATGGCAGGGGAACGATAGAGTGCCAGAGACGTGCGAGAGGAAGTATACACATACTGGGAGAACAACACAAACAGAAGACAGTGAGGGCGAGTGGCTAGAATCACAGCCTCGAAGAACGTGCTTACAGAGATTATAAAATTGA